CGTTTTTGGATCTCTTACGGACCCTATTCTGGTACCAAAAATTACACACCTGGTCCGGTTGACTCATAGGTTTGTTGTTATAAACATAAAACGATATTGATTATATAATTTCTTCCTTTTTATAATTATTCCGATCTTTTTGTCTTGCGGCCCCAAGAAGCTTTGTACTGTCAGTAACTGTTTGTGTGTAAGTGAAACGCTCCTGAAGAAGCTGTGTCCAATTAAAGAAAAAACAACAATTTGGTGTTATAAGGTCATTTATTTCTAGTATTACATGCAGAGAAGTTATCAACTGTTAGATTATATTACTAATTTAAACAACACTGTACTACAACAGTATATTACAACTTAGACTAGCTTATATTCCACCAAAAATTACGGGGCAAGTACTACCACCCCCACCTCAATAGTATACCCTAATCTCACATTTCATAGCTAACTAAAATAAATAAATTTTGCGAAATCAAGCTTGACCAACAAAGAGCCAGAAAAGTGCAGTCGAACGTCGGTAAATTTCTTTGTGAGTCAATCAGAATTAAGATCATTCATGAAATGAATTCGTGGCACATCTATAGAATAATTATCGGTAAAAATCAGTTACATTAACAATTTCTAATATATATAGAAAAGCCAGTGCGTTTTAGTAACACTACTTTCGAACAATGGATTTTATGTCATGTTGCTTATATAAAAGACAAAGTGTGTCACGTCACGCTTGATTTCCCTTGATTTCTCGAAATAGGTAGTACTTTTTCCCGTTTGTATATACGCTTGACTTATTTTAAAATAAGTGGACTGTCTTGCTGTTTGTTTATTGTTGAAATCTATCGCCAGCATTTCACAGGCACCTACTGTAAAGAATCCGGCCTACAAAACATGACGGTACCAATACGGTTTGGATTTCCAATTACAAAGTGTCAACAGAAGCCATTGCATGCGACTATTTCAAGCCAAAAAAATGCTAATAATTCATCAAAAAATTGGAGACTATGGAGAAAACGTTACATACCACAAGTAGCTGCGCTATAACAGTATAAGCATAATTGTTTTACGTCACAAAAATAGGGGGTTCGCCCGAATCCCCATGCCTCTACTTATTTATTTTTTGTTTACTCCACATTGGTGGTTCTTCGAAAAAGAAAATAACAGAAGTATTCAGTTTATTACCAAATTCTGTGTATGAACTTGGTCCACCTCATTTGTTTTCCCCTTTTAGCAAGTAATTAATTTATTCCGTATCATGATTTTATTATCTGTCTGTCTGTTACACCTGAAGGTCTCTTGTTTCATTTGCTCAGGTACACGTATGTCTTGGGAAATCATGGTAAGATGTTTGTTTTCTAGGACAGTACTTATATCAAAAGAAGTAAATGTAAATGTTTCGACTACCGGTGTAAAATATGATTTTATCTTTCATCTGACAATACAAGGACAGTGATAAATGTCATTTTTATTTACACATAAATTCTTTTTAAGTGTAGATATGACGTTATTGATTGTAAGAACGAATGAAAACACGCAAGAACTGTAATGTTGTACACGGTACATAAATTCGTATGTCTATGGCTCATACCTTATTAATAAATTAGGTCTTTTGAGATGCCTTTGTTTGAAGTTTCATTTTGCTGGAAGGAAATAAATTACTTTATTTTGATATAAAGATTACTAAAGTCAACATTCATTATGGGATATTGATAAAATGCTTTTACATCCGACATCATTGTCATATGAAATATTTCAACTGAAGCGATTAATAGTTATCTAATGAAATATGCAGTATACTTACATAAATAAATATATAACAGCAACTCAGCCAATTGTACGGAAGGAGCATTTTATTATATAAAAAAACTTCCTTTTATTTAATCATAAAGTGCAAGTTTTGGCGGCTCTTGGGAAGGATCCTTCCAACTGTTTTTGGTGGAACGGTTTGGTTTGTTTTGAATTTCGCGCAAAGCTACACGAGGGCTATCTGCGCTAGCCGTCCCTAATTTAGCAGTGTAAGACTAGAGGGAAGACAAGCTAGTCATCACCACCCACCGCCAACTCTTGGGCTAATCTTTTTACCAACGAATAGTGGGATTGAGTCGAGCGCCCTAACCACCTGGCCATAGAACGAACGCAACCATTATTCATAGAGGAATCTTTTCATTGATGTCATTTAGTAGCAACACCAGTGTAAAAAACAGCTTCTGGTAGCGAAAAAGCGTAACACAGCTAAATTATTAAATCCTGAGGAAATTTCAAAATAAAATTATTTTTCAATGTAAATTGACAAAGAACGCTGAAAATTATTTCTGAAATTTGATAAAGTAATGTTACGTGATGCCTAGCATAACATGTGGTGGCTAGAGCGCTCGATTTGCAATCTGCGAGTCGCGGTTCGAAACCCGTCATCTAACATGCCCAACCTTTCACCCCGTAGTGGCGTTATAATGTGACGGCCAATCCCACTATTTTTCAGTGAAGGGTAGACTAAGAGTTAGTGGTGCTTTCCCTCTTGTCTATCACTTGTAATTTAGGGACAGCTAACGCAGATAGCCCTCGTGTAGCTTTGGGCGAAATTAAAAACAAACAAACAAATCCTCAAGTTCTAGTGTTAGCGGTATTGGTTATCTGCATGGAGACTTACAATTTATTCTCAATTTGATTTTTTTTTCGAAAATTAGAAACAAAAGAAGTCCAATGTATTTTATAATCAAATGTGTTATTTGTGAACAGAATATTACATGTCAAAGGGTATTTAATCTAATAATTATATAAACCAGTTGTCTTTTGGTAACGCTCTGTTCGGTTGTATCGCTTGGCAACAAAACTATGACCTAATAATATGTGCATAATACTTCAAAAGTTCACGAAAGCTGACTTGAATTCCACATTTTTAGATAGTTTTAACTTTTAGTTTATGCATATACTTACCTTGACGTAGTCATTTCGAAATTGTTGGCGAGTTTTAAAAATATCTAACTTAGAGATTAGTGACCATAATTCGTATGTTTTTATTTAGTTTGTGTGAAATTTTTAAATTTTATTATTACTTTTTTTTTGGTATAAAAATTTATTTTTTATTTATTTCTTCCAAACGTATTGCGGCCCGGCATGGCCAGGTGGTTAGGGCGCTAGACTAGCAATCTGAGGGTCGCGAGTTCGAATCCCCGTCCCACCAAACATGCTCGCTTTTTCAGCCATGGGGGCGTTATAACGTCACAGTCAACCTCACTATTCGTTGGTAAAAGAGTAGCCCAAGAGTTGACTGTGGGTGGTGATGACAAGCTGCCTTCCCTCTAGTCTTTCACTGCTAAAATAGGGACGGCTAGCCCACGTGTAGCTTTGCGCGAAATTCAAACCAAATCATACGTATTGTCTTAATTAATGGTGATACTTGAAATTAATGTTTAGGTTTAAAGTTTCTGATATAATTGTTATCATAAGTCTTAGGCCTATTGGTCTTGAGAGCTTCATCTTCTTTCAGCGTTTAAAACGTAATTTTTAGATTATATGACAGAAAAATTACAGAAAAATACGTTCTGGAACGTGTGAAATATCAGTGGATTTATAAAATATTTCAGCTACCATAGAGCCACTTGAGTAAGACAACTTCATGAAATAGGTAAATCGGTATACTTCAACAATTTTTGCTGGGACATTATGGGTCAAAGTTTGGTGATAAGATCATGTTAGTGAGGTATTGGACTCCTACTGCCTAGAGTTATTTATTACTACCCCAAATAAATGGGATGAAGTTTGGGATGAAGACATAATCTTAACATATTAGAAATTTTCATAAATCTAATATATATATATATATAATAAAGGTCTCTATCTTTTGGTAACGCATTAAAAATTTGTTAGAAATTAAAAATATCAAGTTATAAAGAATGACTATTATGACTAAATAATTGGTGTGCCAATAAAGTGATGAGCCATTAACGTCATACCCATAAAAAGTGGTCAGAGGACGACAATTTTCTTGAGAAACAAACTTCAAGATAAGAAAAAGAAAATACTTTCATATTCACTGTAATTTAAGCCTTTTTTCGAAACATTAGTTATTGTAGTATAATGTTTTCTTTTATGATGAAGAGAGAAGTTTAGTGAACAAAACTAGCTGAAAGTGAGGGGGGCCTCAGTTTATTTTTCAAAGCTCCAACCAGTCATTTTTGACAGGTCGGGCAAGGCTAAGAATATAAGATATACAAAGTTTTGTGACTTATATCCACTATAAATACAATGTTAAGTACTCACTACTTAGTAAAATGTTTTGGAACATGTTTTTATTTTGTTTTTGTACTTAGTAACATGTTTCACCACTTGGCAACATATTTCACTACTTAGTAACATGTTTCACCACTTGGCAACGTATTTCACTACTTAGTAACATGTTTCACCACTTGGCAACATATTTCACTACTTAGTAACATGTTTCACCACTTGGCAACGTATTTCACTACTTAGTAACATGTTTCACCACTTGACAACATATTTCACTACTTAGTAACATGTTTCACCACTTGGCAACGTATTTCACTACTTAGTAACATGTTTCACCACTTGGCAACGTGTTTCACTACTTAGTAACATGTTTCACCACTTGGCAACGTGTTTCACTACTAAGTAATATGTTTTGGAATATGTCTTTATTTTGTTTTTGCACTTAGTAATATATATTATTTTCTCAATTTACTATAAACAAACTTTTCTAAGATCAATAAACATATTTAACATAACTTCTAATTGGCATTTTAACTTGGTTTCTCGTTCAAGAATGTAATGTCAACCAACGACCGAACACAACCGGAATTAGGATTTATAATGAACTTAAATAAAACTGAAGATAATGAGTTTGCAAGATATTTAATTATTCCATTTAAATCAAGGGTAATTGTGTTCATGCGTATTAATATAGGAAAATTAATATCATCATATTTTAATGTACAGTTTGATAAATATGATCAAAATGTGCACATCAGTATTTTAAATCTATATTCATTTTACAATATTTAAATAGCCCTGATGCTAGCCTGGATACCAGCCCAGGTCTCTTCAGCCGTTGGGATGATCTGTTCTTTGGGGAGGAGAAACCCATAGCGACCAGTGTCTCTAAGTTCCAAAGCAAAACCAATCTTTACATCTGCCTTATCGTAAGACCAGTCCAAAGAGGAGCCTGAAACTTTATCTGAAATGAGTTAGATTTCTTGAGTTGTATGTGTGTCACTTCACCATCTTTCAGGATCTATTTTTATTACTATTGATACTCTATTTCTTCTCTATAAAGCTAGCTTAAGTTTTGGAAATTAATCTAGAAATATTTTGCAACAAGTCTTCATACTCTTCAATTAAAATGATTAGAGAGAATATTCAGAGATCCTATAAAAGTGGCATACATATATTAAATACGTTGATGTGTATAGTTTAGGCTTGAGAACCACTCCAATTGTGAAACTTATTGTGTTTTTGTTTTTCAGTTATTTTATTTTTACAAATTTAGCTTTGATTTAAAGACACATACATTACATTGTGGAACATTTCCACGAATGGTACTTCATAGAGTTCCCCTTATGGAACAATAATTATGCTGTAGTAATCAAATAAAATGGAGAATAAATTTAAAATATTTTTCAGAGAAATGTGCTAATTTTCTTTAAACTGGCTGAGGGTAACCTTTAAGGAAGTAAAAATTGTATAAAGGACAATGTTAGATAATGTTTTCTTTCTTTCTTTTGTTATTAAATCCCTAATGACCTCATTAGATGCTAATTGCATAGTCTGCTTTGTGGAAGGTAATAATTGACTCATTGAACTGATTAAGTACTCGTGTCTTTAAATTCAGAGCCAAAATTATATAAAATAAAGGGGAAATGTATCCTGTTTCAGGGTATTTTTACCCCCCTTCTCGGGCAAACATCCCAAAATAAAATAGCTCATGTACATCGCCGGACAGTTTTCAGTTACCATATAAAAAATATGGTAATCAGCCCAGCCAACTCTGGGTGATATAAGCCAAAATTCTATAAAAAAAAGAGTGGATATGAGCCGTTTTTCAGGGTTTTTTTATCCCCATTTTCTAGCAAAAATCCTAAAATAAAATAGTCTTTGTAGACCGTCGGACAGTTTCCAGTTACCATATAAAAAATTGTAGTAACCGAGGTGGCCAACTCTGAGTAAAAAATACTAACACAGATACAGACACATACATAATGGATCATCTTTACAGTAAGGTAAAAGTATATACACATAACTCACATAAACCAGTGGTAATGGGTCCATACTCATAAGAAGTCCCGTGAACTCTGTAGATGGCGTCGACTGCAGCTTGCGATATTCGCATCTGTAAAAGTTAACAAATGTCAAAAATGGTACCGTCTTCATAAGAGACTCAACTTACATTGAATTAATTTGTATATTGTAGTATTTTACACAGATAAAAACAACAACGAGAACACAAACAACATTAAAAAGTTATGATAGATTACCTCCATGTGTAACTTTATTCTAAATGATATATCATTCATTTTGAATTTGCTTGAAAAAAAAACCTTTTTATCTTGTTTTTTACCTGATAATTAAGGGTGAATAAATAAGTGAGATCACGTGGTTTCACTGGTACTTATTGAACCTGAAGTTTTTGCTGATGAAATATTGATTATTATTGTGAGTGCGCAAAATCAATCATATTTTAACTCCCACTTATACAATGTTGGCTCAAAATAATTACGCAAATGGTTAACTTCTCTGCACCTTTTTCCTTTGTTTATTTCCATTTTTGCATCGTTTTGAAGGCAAAAATGTAGTATTGATTTTTTGAAAATTAACCGCTTATTGAACGTCTTCGTACCTTTCGTTTTTTTTTCCACCATTTCTAATCATCGATATCCAATAATATCAAGGGAATTTCCCGCAAAGCCAAATGACGTCATAACGCAGCCAATCACGTTCCTTTGCATATCTAAATGAGCTGATTACCGTTCGGAGTTTTCCAGTTACGATCGCGATCTATCATTACGAAGTCATTCATAATACATTTCGAAGGGCGGGCACACACGAAAAATTAAAATGCGTACTTCTGTTTTTTATTTATTTTTTTACGTGAACTAGTACGCCAGTGGCAATCAAAATAGTGTAAGTACGCAAAGTACGCGTCCTCGAAGCAACACTGGTTCGTTTGATATCTTGATAACAGGAGAGAGTAGGTATGTGTTTATCATGGGAATTGGCCTGGCATGGCATGGCCTGATGGTAGGGCACTCGATTTGCAACCTGCTGGTAAAGAGTACTCCAAGAGTTGGCGGTGAGTGGTATTGATTATCAACAACAACAACAACAACAAGAAACAATTAAAATTCGATGACGAGGAACCCACTTTGAGACTAATAATGGTTGGAGACGGCTTGAATGGGTAATGAAGAAAAACTTTAATATAAGTTTAACATAACCTGGTGATGACGAAACCTTGTC